TGAAGCTTTGGGTGCAGTAGCAGACTCTGCTAAGCTTGTTTTCGATGTTGTTGTCACTGTATCTACTGCCACAGAATGTAACACAGTAGATGAACCCTCAGCTAGTGTAGTCTTGGTTGATTCTGGTTCATTGCTAACAGTTGCTGCTGTGGTTGAGCCCAGTGCAGTTGCTGGCAATGCTGATGTCACTGATACAAAGGTTGAAGCTTTGGGTGCAGTAGCAGACTCTGCTAGGCCTGTTGTTGTTGTCACAGTATCTACTGCCATAGAAAGTAATACAGTAGATGAAACCTCAGCTAGTGTAGACTTGGTTGTTTTCGGTCCATTGTTAGGGGTTGTTGCTGTGGTTATGCCCCAAGCAGTTGTTGGCAATGCTGATGATGCTCCTGTTGATGTTAATGTAGTTGCACTTGTTGCCTCTGCAGCTGTAAAAATTGCATTAGATGATGGTATTTTTGTTGTTGGCGGTGCTGTTTCTGATGCAGACACTGTTGTTTCATTTGGTGTTATTGAAACTGTTTTGGTTGTTAAAGGTTCTGTTGTGACTTGAGGTGATGATGACTCTGTTATTGCAGATTGTACTGCATTGCTTGTCACTGCCTCTGTTGTAGCTACTGTTTGTGTAGGCTGAAGTGTTGTCACAACACCTATAGGTACAGTATAGCAAATGAGTATCAAGTTAGTGTACAATAATAACATTAAAATTTTTTAGTGTGGTACAATATCAGTAGTAATCAGTAATCAACTGTTTTATCAACTGTTTTCTGTCGTAGTTTTTTTTTCTTTTCCTTTCTTAAAATGTTCCTCTATCAATGTTCTTTTAAATATTACTTTGCTTGGTTATTTTGCTTGTTGTTGTTTTCCATCGCCGTGTATATTACAAAAAAATTACAAAATGGCCAACCCAAAAACTTCACATTATTTAAAACAATGTCTCTCTGCTTTTCCTGAAGCTCATCTTTATTATCGCAAAGGGATAGTTCACCCAAAAATGAAAATTCTGTCGTCATTTACTCACTCTCGTTTCAAATCATTCTAAATTTGGAACACAAATGAAGATATTTCTCATGGAATATGAGAGATTTCTGTCCCTCCATTGACAGTCTATGCAACTACCACTTTGACACTTTTTAGTTTAGTCCAAATTTTCAGAATAGACTTTTTATGATGAACATATTTAATTTAGGCTTTTATTCTTTAGGCTTTTAAATTAGGCTTTTATTCACATATAAACATCAATCAACGCACACATCAGTTATGGCAAACAGAAGCTCAAGCATGCTTGCTTGACGTGTGAGAACCAATGAGGTTCATTCTCGTGTGTTACACAGCACATTTGAGTTTCCACAAAAACCAATGAGGTTTGTCCTTGCGCATCAAGCAAGTATGGTTGAGCTTGTTCGGGGTTCAGACACACTCTCTCTGTTTAAATCTAGATTAAAGACACATCTCTTTGGCCAAGCATTCAAATAATGCATCTCATAATCTTGTACTGCAGTTATATCTGATCAAATGCACATTATTATTCTTTAGTTTGGGTTAAACAAATCAATTTTGCTTGGTTGGAACAGCAGCTAAGCTAATTATGTCTCTATTTGTTTCTCTGTGTCTGCTGGGATTGACATCCCGTGGTAACTAAGATTTACACAAGCTTCAGTCTGGATCCAGAACACCTTATGCTCGCTGATCAATGTAAACATGTGGGAAAAAAGCCTAAATTAAACCTGAAAATTTGGACTAAACTGCTCGATTTACATTAGTTTTACGATCTCTTTATGAAGTTTTTGAAGCGTCAAGGTGGCAGTTGCATAGACTGTCAATGTATGGACAGAAATTTCTCAGATTTCATTAAAAAATATCTTTATTTGTGTTCCGAAGATGAACAAAAGTCTTACAGGTTTAGAACGTCATGAGGGTGAGTAAATTATGCCAGAATTTTCTTTTTTTGGTTAAAGTATCCCTTTAATTACAGAATTGTCTCACTGGTTTAACTGGTAACAGAATTTCAGCACTTGCCATTACATTCTTAACATGACATGTAAAGTTAAAAAAAAAAAAAATATATATTTTAATGACCCTGTTTGTTGCCACTAGTGGTAAAGGAATTACATTCAAACAGAACATTCATTTGAAAAATATATTAAAATAAAAAGTGGTTATTTTAAATTTGAATAATATTTCATTTTTTTATTAAATAAATGCAGCAGAGCATAAGACTTCTTTCAAAAACATTTAAAAATCTATAACATTCCTAAACTTTTGAATGGTAGTGTGTAATCATAACATATTTTGTCAAACCTGTTTGGGGTATTAAAATTGTCGTTCCTGCCATTGTTGTTCCAGGTGCCACTGTAGACCATAAAGTTGTATCTGAAACCGGTGATGCAGTTGTGGATGTTCTTTCAGCTGTTGTACTTTCAAAACTAACTCCTGCTCCTGATGTAGCAGGCAGATTTGCAGATGAAATGGCGGTTGTTGTTATCTTTGGAGCATTTGAGCCATCCTTTACAGTCTGCGTACTGGTTGTAGCACCCTCTGATGTTGGAGTTTTCTCCGGTGTCCATTTTAATGCCGATACCAAACTATTTCTAGTGGTTGTGGGTTTTATGCTGCTTGTTAGCTCTATTGAGGTAGTTGCTGGAGTGGTTAATGGAGTGGTTGTTTCTGTAAATACTGACATTGTGAGCTTTGGTGTGGTGGCTGTTAGTTGCCTTGAGGTTTCTAATGGTATATTGTTTGAAGTGGTAGTTTTTGATAGCATTGTTGAAGTTGTAGTATGTGTGATGGTTGTTTGTTGTCTTGAGTTGGTAGTTGGTAAGATTGTTGTTGGAGTGGTGATTGTTGCCGGCAGTGCTGAAGTTTGAAGCTCTGTTGTGGTTTCTGAGATTTCACTTGGAGTGGTCTTCTGTTTGCTGATATGTGCTTGAATGCTGGTTTTTAGGGGCTCTAGTGAAATTGTAGACATTGTTGTTTTGGTTGTTGATGGCCCTGAAGTGGTTGTTTGTGCAGTTGTTGGGAAAAATGAAGTTGGCAACATAGTTGTTGCTGGTGATGAGTTGAATGACTCTGTCGGTGTTGTGGCTGGGGTAATTGCAGTGGATGTGGGTTTTTTTTTAATGGCTGCAAAAAAAAAAAATTCCATGCAGAGAAAAACATATTGAAAGACTTGGTTAATATGTTTAAGTAATTAGAAAATTACTTAAATATTGATTTGTTACCTATTTCTAAAACGGGGTACCAGTACTGTCTGGAAATAACTTGTGATCCTCTCCTGAAAGATACAATTATTATTAACATATATTATTTTGCAAGAAGAAAACACATTTTGTTAAAAAGAAATGCACTCCCGTTTTGTTAAAAAGAACCCCCTCCCCCCCAACAAAATTAAATTGTAGTTATCAAAAAGCATGTTCAATTGAATTTAAATAATAAAACGTTAACATTTTAACAACAGTTTATTAAAAGTTTAACAATAATTATATTTTTAGGGCCCTATGAAATCTGTTTTATTTTTTCTCCATTTTATTGTTTTCAAATTCATTGTTTTACATTTTCATTTTTCTGCATTCCATTTTAATGGTTTAATTCAATTTTAATTTGTCTAAAAAATGTAATTCATAAAATGTTAACAACTTAATATTTTATTGCAATTTTTATAATAATATGGTCATATGAAATGTTTTATTTGTTTAGAAATTCTTTGTTGTCTGTTTTAATGCTTCTGTATTTATACTTTATTACATATACATGTAACTTTACATTACATAACTTTATTACCAAAAATAGTGGTAATCAAATAAAGGCATAAATCCTTAAGAATAGAATCTTTTAAAATGTAACAATTCTTTTCATTTGATGGCAAACAAAGTGCTGCACACCAAAGGTTTACAATTACAATAAAATTAAAACATTCTGGAAGAAAAATAATGTGGTTGTTCCTTTAAAAATAGTTTTAATAATTGTATTATTATTATTAGGGCCCAAGCCAGAAAGGCGCAGGGCCCTAT